CCAGCATTTCTGCTTATCGCCTCTTTTTCTTCCCCTCAGTGGGGATGGAGGAAAAATAGGTCATCTTCTTTCAAAAAAAAAAAAAAAGAGGCAAGTTAAAAGTCCCCTAAATATTTCTGATATCTAACTTCCTTTTTTCACCCCATCCCATTCGTTGAGAATCCTTTGGACTTCCCTTCATATTTCAAGTCATTCCTTTCTCTTCTTAAAATATGACATCAGAACTGAACATGATAATAAGTCCCTGGCCTCTCTGAACTCTCAGGGCACTTACCCACGGTATTTCTGGGCAGAAAACTGACATCTCTTTCTGCCCATAGTCTGTCAAACAGTGTCATGTTGCCACGGGCAAGGCAGCTTCTCAGGGAAGGGAACGATATAATTATTGCAAAATCAAGCCCCCCCTCTACTCCAGAAAGTGAATCCTCACTACAAAGTGAATTCTACCAGTATGTCTGGCTAACAGCTTGTCTTCTGAAAGCTAATAATCCTTCCTCACCCACAAGCACATACGTGTTTTACATTTATAGGGACCTACATCCTGGTGTCATGCTAGCTTTTGCTGATTCATATTCAGTTCTTGCTCCTGCAAGACACTAAATGATTTTTTTGGTTCTCCACTTTCTGAAAACTAGTATATAGAACATGTAATATTTATGTGAGGTAGGAATTCAGAAACTTGCTCATCACTTAGTTTCGAAGAAACAAATCTATATATATAAAAGGCCAATATGCAAAGTGTTCCCTCGGGAGTTCGACCGGGAGAACAGGAGTTTGATTGCTCTCTGTGATGTGCACTGACCCTGAGGGGGTGATGAGGAATGTGGTGGGCAATCAGCAGTGGCGGGGTGTGAGGGAGCAAGGGAAGGAGGAGGCGGGGAGGCGGGGAACCTGATTACCCATGATCGCTGGCCAGGCCTAGAGACCCTACCCATGCACGGATGTCATGCTCCTGGCCTCTAGTCTAGAATAATAAAAGCATAATATCTAATTAGACTGGATGTCCTTCCAGATGACCTTCCAGATGAAGCTGGGGCTGCGATGGAAGCCTGGGTCCCAGTGCTATAGGGAAACCAGTACTGGCAGCTCGGAGAAGGAAGGCCTACTCTTGCACAAATTTCATGCATCAGGCCTCTAGTGTGTATATAAAAGGCCTTCTATTTGCTCAGTGCTGCGTGAGGAACAGGATATAAAGATGGTGGTACCTACTTCCAAGGTTAACTAACCATAAGCTGCACCACCACCCATGACCTACATGACACAGCTCCAAGGACAAAACGGCAGGGTTACCTGATCGGTTAGTTTCCTGAAGTCAATGTTTGGGCAGCCTTTTCATGAACCTGCGTTAAGTGTCTTGTCATACCCCGAGCACCAGTAGAGCTCCCGCATTGTTGTCTGCTGTAGATTCACGGACATGGCTGACGCCGCTCCATTTTCTCTTCTGCGGGAGGAGGTGGGGTGGAGTCAGCACAGAGGGCGGAAGATTGATGGGTGCAGTGAGTAGCAACTTTGCTTAGTAATGACGGTGTGCTTGAAGAAGCACCCTTTAGCATTTCCGGAGATGTGGCTGCTTTGCTCCCCATTTATATAACGTGTCACGTCCAAGAAATGACAAGATGGTTTGAAATAGACAGCTGGAGCACACGTCAAAAGAAATCTCTTCTCTTGTGATCACGCTGAGAATGACCAGTTTTGGTTTCAGGAATTTTTTTTTTTTTTTTTTTTTTTTTAATATATTTTATTGATTTTTTACAGAGAGGAAGGGAGAGAGATAGAGAGTTAGAAACATCGATGAGAGAGAGTCATCGATCAGCTGCCTCTTGCACACCCCCTACTGGGGATATGCCCGCAACTAAGGTACATGCCCTTGACCGGAATCGAACCCGGGACCCTTCAGTCCCCAAGCCGACGCTCTATCCATTGAGCCAAACCGGTCTCGGCTGGTTTCAGGAATTTTTAATGACAACCCTACACCCCTCACTGCTAAACAGAAAAACACCCTAGTAAACCTCAGGAAATAGGGGACGAGCTGTCGTCTGTGTGTTTTCTGGCGGGTGAAGAATGCTTCCATGGATTGAATGCTTTCCTGGTAGCTTCCTCCAGAGCTTTTATGCGGTGATATTGTCTAGTGGTCAACAGCCTAACCTCTATAACCCCCGAGCGACGTGAATGTATTAGCTCTGAAACATGGGGTGAGTTAGTAATGTTTTGGTGTCTCGTCATCCTCATCTATATCATAGGAATAGTAATAAGTCCTACCCCATAGGGTTGTTGGGAAGACTTAATGATTATTTTTCTTTTGCGTTGAACACAAGTTGCCTTATAATACAATGCAGAGAGATGGGTTCTATTTCTAAAGATGCCACGAATAGCCCTGACATAATCCTTCTCACTTATTTTTGCTGTTCTCATGACAACCTGATAAGAATCTAGCTGTGGCCGAAACCGGTTTGGCTCAGTGGATAGAGCGTCGGCCTGAGGACTGAAGGGTCCCAGGTTCGATTCCAGTCAAGGGCATGTACGGTGGTTGCGGGCACATCCCCAGTAGGGGGTGCGCAGGAGGTGGCTGATCGAAGATTCTCTCTCACTGATGTTTCTAACACTCTATCCCTCTCCCTTCCTCTCTGTAAAAAATTCAGTAAACTATATTAAAAAAAAAAAAAAAAAAAAAAAAAAAAAGGATCTAGCTCTGCCATGGACAAATTGGCCGAGCTGGAGAAAACATAACAAAATCCTTAAACACATAATTTCCCCGCGGTCGGGAAGACCCACGCTGCTCTCAGACACCCTCCTCCTGCCCCGTGTTCTCCCTGGGTGCGCAGGGGCGGCCGTGCTGTCTCTCGCAGGCCTCGCTTCGGCGAGTCTTCTCCTCTGTAAGAGCACGCGGCTCTTTGACAGAAAGCCATTTGCCAAGGAGCGGGATGTGTTTCCCCTGCAGCTGTGATGTGAGTGGTATCAGAGTGATGGACTCTGGTGGAAACTAGCTTCCTGTTATCTTCGGGGCTCCTGCTTCCCTGACGGCTTGAGCCTTGGACGTGCGTATAATTGGGACTCAGTGAGACAACCTTGACACCCTCTGCGGAGAGATGCGCCGTTCGATACCGGCTCCCAGAGGGCTGGCAAAGAGCAGCGTCTCCCTGGGGCAGAGTGACCATGGAGGACGCCCTCCCTGTGAAGGTGCTCATGAAGAGCCAGTGGCCCAGAACTCCAGCCTCACACTCAGAGGAGAAGGTTTTAATCAGTCCTTTCTGTCCAGTCTCACCAGGACAGGCCTAGCCATCCAATCACAATGTAGAGAGATAACATAGAGAGAGAGAGAGAGAGAGAGAGAGAGAGAGACTGACTTCAGAGAGGAGGGACGAGAAAGAGAGAAAAAGTCAGAAAAAAGCTCAGAACCATATGATTTCACTCATAAAACGGAAACTCATGACCGCAAACCGCACGCAATGTGGTGGTCGCCGGAGGGAAGGGGGTGGGAGGTGAAAGAGGTTCCTGATAATATGGTGACGGGAGAAGGTTTGACTGTGAGGGGTGGGCACGTGGTGCAATCTACAGATCCTGTAACATAGAAACCCACCCCTGAAACCTATGAGATCGTATTCACCAATGCCACCCAACACGTTTTATTTAAAAGGGGAAAAATAAATAAATTGCCGAATTTATAAATTTAGAAAAAGACAATTAGAGAGAAGGTATTTCATATATATATATATATATGTATATATATATATATATATATATATATATATATATATATATATATATATATATATATAAATGCTACTCTCCTGGAGTGACTTGCATAGTAACTTTGAAAACTATTGGATAGGGAATCTCCCAGCTCTTGGGTTTTGCTTACCAATGAAATCAGAGCACCCCTCCTCCTTTGCACCTGTTCTGCAGACAGAGTTGCTTGAAAACAGCTTTTGGTTTGTTTTGTGTTGTGTGTGCATGTGTATGTGTTGTGTGTGTTGTGTGTGTGTGTGTGTGTGTGTGTGTGTTTTGAGTCAGACCTTTTGAACTCTGCCTCAGAGACATGCATGGGCGTTAACTACTCTCCAAGGGCAAAGTCATTGTCAATCAGGGTCTTTGACTACAGGTAACCAGCTGGCTGTCACTTAGGCAGAAACAGGCTCTCTGGAGGCCCTGGGAGTCTCCCAGGCCAGAGGCCAGCATAGCCCGAGGCTGCCCACAGCAGGAGCTGCTCTGTGTGTGTTTTTTAAAATATGTTTTTATTGATTTTTAGAGAAAGGGGAAGGAGGAGGGAGAGAGAGAGAGAAACATCTATTGGTCGGCTGCCTCCTACACACCCCCTACCAGACATCTAGCCCACAGCCCAGGCATGCGCCCTGACCAAGGAACTGAACTGTGGCCTCCTGGTTCATAAGTGAACTCTCAACTACTGGGCCACACTGGCCAGGCTGTATTTTGTTATTTTTATCATCCTCCATTTTCCAGTTTTGCCTCAGACAAAGGAAAGAGGTTCAAGCTATGATTTTTGCCTTGATAAGTATCAAATTCCATTTGATAACTACCAATGAGCGAGTACCTCTGGAAAGGGGAGAGGGGAAGGAATGGTATTTGGGGAAAGGTACTGCGCAGTCTTACCGGTGTCTGGGTGTTGGGTCAGTGTGTGCATGAGACTCCTCAGTGTTGGAAATGTCTCTTAATTAATACTTTGTCCTTTAAACACATAAATACTAATTTTAAAATTTAAATGTGAGAGCCAGCACCTTCCCTCCACCCACTCTGTCTTCATCAGTCACCATAAAGCATGAGGTATTGGGTTTTTCACTCAGAAAAATGTAATTACTTCGCCATGAAATGTTAATGCTATGTTCTATTCTTGAAGTCACTTGTCCCCGTGACAAAGCTATGTCCTAATAGAGTTGCTAAATTTTCTCGTAAGTCATCCTTTTAATATTTTATATTCGCCAGATGAGCTGGTGATGAGCTGGGACTTCTCTGTTTTTTTTTTGTTTGTTTTTTTTTACAAACAGGACTATCTCAGCAAAAACTCACCACCAAGCTGTGAACTTCAACATCTTCGAAGGCATGGTTTGCCACGGGGTGCCCCTGGTGACCATTTCCAGGGGCAAAGTGGTGTATGAAGCTGGAGTTTTCCATGTCGCACCAGGAGACGGGAAGTACATTCCTCGCAAGCCATTTGCTGAATATGTTTACCGGAGGATCGAGCAGCGGGACCAGGTGAATGTGCCCGAGTGGCTGTTACCCGCCGGGGCGGAGCTGGCACCCGCTCCTGGGTGTTGGTGGTGGTGTTGTCACGTACACTCCATTTCATACATCCCTGGGACATCAGAACTGATAGGAGAGGTTCCAAACAAATACCAATGTTCAAAGAAGGAATCATTATGGGATGGTTGCATTTTCCCTTAGGGTTTGGTGCCTACTCAGGGTTTCCCAGGCAAGTTCAGGACCTCCGGGGGCCTTTGGCATTTGGGTTAGTCAGGGTATTCTCAGAAGCAGACTCTCATGAATAAAGGTCTGACTTTTTTAAAAAAAATTTATTTTATTTTATTGATTTTTTACAGAGAGGAAGGGAGAGGGATAGAGAGTTAGAAACACTGATGAGAGAATCATCGATCAGCTGCCTCCTGCACACCCCCTACTGGGGATGTGCCCACAACAAGGTCCATGCCCTTTTCCAGAATCGACCCTGGGACCTTTCAGTCTGCAGGCTGACGCTCTATCCACTGAGCCAAACCGGTTTCAGCAGGTCTGACTTTTTTTTTTATTAGGGAAGACACTTGTGAGCGAACGCAGGAGGGAGCCAGGAAAATCTGGGAGAGCCTCCGACTATAACTCAAGTTTGAATCCAGTGAGAGAACTAAGGAGAGTTAAAGGGGTACAAGCATCCTGGACGGCCATACAGTCTGAGACAGACTGAGCAAGGTCTTCAGGCAGCGATTGAACCAAGACTCCTGTCAATCAGTTATATGGCCTGATGCCATTGGCTCGGAGAAACTGTGGGAGGCGTGGCCTCCCTTCAAACAAGGGAATGAATGGAGTTTAAAGTTTAGCAACGGCCCCTTGGAAAATGCTCCCTGGAGTTGAGTGTCAGGTCACCAGAGCAATGGTGGCGTTTGGGGTCAGATCTATACATTTTTAGGCATGCTAGTGCATTAATGGTTTTGCAATAACAATAATAGTTCATCATTATTACCGTCTCTTGCTCTGAGCACTTGCTATCTTCCAGGCACTGTATTAGGTCGTTTATATTGTTTTACTTACTCTGTACAGCAAACCGTGAGTAGATATTAATATCCCCATCTTACATAGAAATCTGAGTCTCAGATAAATAAAACATTGTTCCTGGGGCTAAGCACTAAGTAACTATATGAGTTGAGATTTATGGGAGGGCCTTTTTCATTCCCACTATATCATGAGAACTCTGTGAAGCAAGAGGAGAAAATTATTGTGAAACTCAAAACATGGGGAAATTCACTGTTTTTTAAAACGTTCCTGTGGCCAAAACCGGTTTGGCTCAGTGGATAGAGCATTGGCCTGCGGACTGAAGGGTCCCAGGTTTGATTCTGGTCAAGGGCATGTATGTACCTTGGTTGCGGGCACATCCCCAATGGGGGGTGTGCAAGAGGCAGCTGATCGATGTTTCTCTCTCATCGATGTTTTTTACTCTTTATCCTTTTTTTCTTCCTCTCTGTAAAAAATCAATAAAATGTATTTAAAAAAATAAAATGTTGGTGTGGAAATAGTATTAAAAAAAATGGGTCAAATGAGATTTGAGTATTGTCTGAAGACATTTTTCTCTTCATTAGGCAAAGATAATTTTATAGATAGAAGAAAATATCACATTAAGATTAAGAAAAAAATAGTCATTAGAAATTCTTTAAAATCACATGAGGGTATTTGAGCTCTTGCTTGGTTCCCATGGAAAATATTCAGATTTCCTGGTGAATGAGGATACATGTGTTTGAAAGGAAGCAGAACAGCTCATAACATTTTTTCCTGTTCACCTGTTTTCTTCTGAAGAATATTAATCACTTACCATCCCAGACTACTGAAAGCAAGCAGAACAACTCATAACATTTTTTCCTGTTCACCTGTTTTCTTCTGAAGAATATTAATCACTTACCATCCCAGACTACCAAGCACAGACTCCGGTGTTTGCCGGTCCAGAACTTGGCTGGTCTCCTGGCTAGAGTGTTAGTTCCCTGAGGGCAGCATCATACTAGGTGGACCGATGAATAATACGATTTTTTCCAGTAGACAGCACTACACATATGTAGATATATATATGCCATTGGATATGTATGCTATTTTGTTGTACTGACAACAAGCTTCAACACTTCATAGGTCAAGTGTTCTGAAGGTGTTAACATCATAGATATTTTCACACTCAAAAATGTCAAACTTCGTGCCAATAAAAAGATCACTTTCGGAAAGTTTTAATTCATTAATTTATTTGGAAGAAAAGTGCTGCTGAAAGTTATCACCATCTTACATAGAAATATCTGGAAGCTCATGGTGAACATTCTCATATCTCAAGATACTTGTGAACGCTGGTTTAAAGTGTTGATTTACAAGTGATGATTTCAATATGAAAGATGAAGAACGACTAGGTCAACCGAAAAAGTTTGAAGACCAACCATTACAAGCATTATTGGATGAAGATGCATGTCAAACTAAAAAACAACCTGCAGAAAAATTAACCATTGCTCAGCAAACAATTTTCGATCATTTACAAGCAATGGGAAAGATTTTAAAGGAAGGAAAATGGGTGCCACATTAACTGAAAGAGAGACAAATGGAAAAACTGAAAAGTCATCAGTAAAATGTTGCTTCAATGGCACAAAAGAAAGTCCTTTTTGCATGGAATGGTGACTGGCAATAAAGACCCCAAACGCACAAAATCATGGGTTGATCCAGGTCAACCATCAACATCGATTGCATGGCCAAATCGCTTCAGAAAGAGGACAATGGTCTGCGTTTGTTGGGATCAGGAAGGTGTGGTGCATTATGAGCCTCTGAAACCAGATGAAAGCATTAATAATGACCACTACCAATGACAAATAATCAATTTGAACCATGCTTTGATCGTAACACGACCAGAATGGGTCAGAAGACACGAAAAAGTAATTTTTCTTGTTGATGACGTACCATCACACACTTCAAAACCAGTTAAAGACACGTTAAAAGATCTTGCCTGGGAAGTATTAACCCACCCGCTGTATTCACCAGTCCTTGCTCCTTCAGATGACCACTTGTTCCAATTGATGCCACACGCACTTTCTGAGCAGCACTGCAAAATGTACGAAGAAGTGGAAAATTGGGTCTCTGAATGGTCTGCCTCAAAACAAGAAAAGTTCTATTGGGATGGTATCCACACATTACCTGAAAGACAGGGAAATGTGTAGCTAGCGGTGGACATTACTTTGAGTAAAGCACTTTTGATGTTTCTCTTGAAATTACCATGTTTTCTTTGGATTACAAAATTTGTATTATTAAAGATTAATAGTCAATCCGCATTTCTAACCAGTTAATAATTAATCTGCATTATTAACCAGTTAATAGTCAGCCTGCACTACTAGCCAGTTAATACTCAATCCACATTGATAACTGGTTAAAGATAATCCACATTATTAACCGGTTAATACTTAATATGCATCATTAACCGGTTAACTATTAATCCTTATTGTTAACCATTTAACAGTTAATCCGCATTGTTAGCAGGTTTGGATGAAAAATTTTATATCCATGCAGTCAGGCTTGAAAAAACGAACCAGGAGAGAAAAACACAGAAACCAAAGCCCAGAAAGGGAGGATGTGGACAGAGAGTGGGGCACTCAATGCATTTCAAGTTTTGGGGTTGGCTGGGCTCCCAGTGACCACAGTGTCCAGGCGCTGGGGAGCAGAAATGGAAGGCTGGCCTTCCGTTCCCTTGTCAGTGCCCTCAAGGTGATGACAGGATCCAGGCTGAAGAGAAGCCCTGAGTCAGCAGGGAGCCAACATGGAGGTCCCACAGCGTCTCAGCAGCACAGAAAGGGGACAGGGGCTCAGACTGGGGTCCGCCCAGAGTGTGAGTGGTGGCAGTGCGCACAACATTACCTGTCAGGGTTCACAGCTGTAGAGACGGTCTCGGGCTTTTTCTTTGCTTTATCCTCCATGCCTGGGGCTGTGTATGTGCATTGAGTATCTATTGATGAGTGAGGGAAGTGCTTTGTATCTGAGAAATCTCATGCATCTGAGAGAGGGGTTTTATTCCCTCCATTTCATAGATGAGTGAGTAGGCTGGGGGAAGGGGGGCGTGAGGAGAGGGGAGGGGAAGGAGGGATTTATTAGCCTGCCAGTTTCTTACAGCTAGTGAATGGCAAGGCTACAATTCAAACTTAGGTCTGTCCTGATCCAAAGCTCACAGTATCGATCCCTACAACATACTAGTTTGAGTGGTCAAAGTAAGACCTGCAGGAATTTGTTATGGTTTACCTCCATATGACTTACACGTACAAACACACACGTGTTTAGTTGTGAAGAGCCTATTCTATCACAGGCCTTATTCTAACCGCTATCTGTATTTAATTCCCTCCACGCGGAATCCTCACAGCCACCCTATGGGGCGGGTGCTCTCATCACCCCCAGTTTACAACTCAGGGCCCTGGAGTGCAGCCTGGAGGCATGCGCCCAGGCGGTCTGGTTCCGAGCCCACACCCTCTGTCACGGGGATTTGCTCCTTCTCGACTTGTCTGTGAATTTGTGTGCGTGTTTAGCAACAGTATGGTTTGGTCGCTGCTCAGGAGCTCCAGTGCTTATGAAGCCCAGGCTTCAACTCTGAGTGAATTCTAGCTGGCCCAGCCAGGGTTCTGTTGCGCAGTCGGTCGCTGGAGATGTGAGATTCTGTGGGAGGCCTGTTACACACAGTGATATTGGGAAAATGAGGAGAGAGGGAAAAAAAAAAAAAAAGACATTAAAATTGCTAGAATCTGAACCGAAATGTTGAGAGTCTTAGGAGAGGAATACTGATGTCAAGAACGACGGAAAGGACAAGCTGGGACTAGAACTCAGAAGCCCCAAGGAAAGCTGCAGTGGAAGAATGATCACTACAGAGTGCTCTTCAGGCCTTTGTCTGACACAGATTAACGCCGGCCAAGAGGGGGCGACACAGGTGCAGGAGGCTGCCAGGCATTGCTGTGAAAGGACAGGGGTTGGGAGACACATGATAAGTTCATGAGATTTCTTTCTGGTCCAACAATTTATTAAGGGAGCTGCCCTTAGCTCTGAATTCAAGAAGTCAATAATGGCTGAAACCGGTTTGGCTCAGTGGATAGAGCATTGGCATGTGGACTGAAGGGTCCCGGGTTTGATTCTGGTCAAGGGCATGTACCTTGGTTGCGAGCACATCCCCAGTGGGGGGTGTGCAAGAGGCAGCTGATTGATGTTTCTGGCTCTCTATCCCTTTCCCTTCCTCTCTGTAAAAATTTAATAAAATATATATATTTTTTAAAAAAGAAGTCAATAAACAAGTCAGAAGAGAAAAATGAAATGCGTTGTTTTTTTTTTTGTTTTTGTTTTTCAGACTTGCACACCTACCCCCGTGGAGCGTGAACCCTATCAGGGAGACGTTGTCCTTCTGGAATAGACACAAAAGACTCCACCGCTGGGACCAGGACACAAGCCTCCCCTCCCTGAGTGCTGTTGGGAAGGGACGGTGGACAAGGGAAGTATTCCAGCCTGACAGCAGATGCCATTAGCATCTCTCTCTTCATAACCATGTGAAGAGTTCATGGTCAACGTCAAAGGCATCAAAGGGACATGAGGCTCAAGGACAGTTTAGCCACGGGAAGAATAACAGACCTCTTGACTCAGAACACTGCGATAAGCCCCCGGATTGAAGGAGGCTCTGGGCCATCTAGAGATTTATCCTCTGAGACCTTGGGAAGTCGTCACCAGAGCCATGGAGGATCAAACGTGAGCAAGAAGCAATAGACCTGTCATTGAGGAACGTTGGCACCACTTTAAACAGGGAGGACAAGTTCATGGTCGAAATTTATTATCCAAGACTTTATCTGGAAAGATAAATCTTCATATTGTGAAGGCAAATATATCCTAGGACTTAAAGTGAATGAAAAATGAATCACATGGCTTTGCAGGATATATAATTTTTCAGGAAAATTATTTGATAGTATTTGATATATTTGATTTCACATGTAATTTTTGGAATAATATTATAAATATGGTCATTTTTGAAAAAAAAAACACAACCCCACACATTTTAGTGCTTCATCAGTTATTCTCTTAGTATTTTGACATCCAGAACTTTCTTTTTACAAGTACCTTGCACATTTTCTTTTTCTCTCTCTCCCTTTTTAGTAGTTTTCTGGTCTTGCAAAGTCAGCTACCTATCTAACATTGGCTTTGCTGTGACTTACGCATCTTTCTAACATATCTTCCACTGACTTCATGAAGTCTACCCTGTCTTCTCAGTTTCGCAATTTCACGAGACTAACTTGTTAAAGCTGGTAATACATTTTCAAATGTCTCAGAACAGCGCAATCTGCAAAACTCTTCCATAAAAGGTTGACATGATGGGTAGATGTTTGTGTCCATTGGGGACACTTTGTCAGAGAAGTAGCGTTATACTCCCCGGTTAGCGTTATACTCCCCATCACGTTTGCACATGACAATAACCTGTGCTTTCTTCCACCAAACCCTTGACCTGAGCAACATGGCTTTGTGCACTTTGGGCTGCAATCGCATTACTGAGGCCCTGAGTCTTTCCCAATGCGACATAGCCACGCATGTCAGCCTTTTTGTCCCTCCCCACCTATTGAAACTGTCCTGGCCATCCAGGAAGACGGTGTCAGTCATTCGGAGGAAGGTTTAGCAGGAGGAGGATATCGCATCGCGCGCTGTGACCTGCTTTTGCAGCCTTGGCGGGAGCAGGGCTGGTGCTTCCTTTTATTACGGCGTTTCTGGAGGGTTAGGCCTGAGCTCCGGTCTGAGAGGGACCGTTACGCCGAGCTCCTTTCATTCGGTTCAAAAGCGGAGTCAGAGGAAAGGAGGCTGCTGCTCCCGTCAGCGCTAACCGCTGTCAGCCTCGGAGAAGCCGGCTCCTCCCTTTGAAAGGAGAACCGCTCCGGGCCCCTCTGGTTTCCTTTCAGGAGCAATCCCGGCGGCTCTCCCTGTGACTTTGCCGCTGTGTGAGACGGAAGACATAAATGACTGTTATGTGACGGAAAGTCTGTGTGAAAACTCACTGATGAGACTTCAAAATGCCATCGTCGCTTGTACCAGATTTCTTCCTGCGGATTTTTAAAGATCCCTTTTTTGTGTTTCAAGTTTTTTTTTTTTCTTCTTCTTCTTTTTTCCAATGGAGGCATTTGTTTAAAAATAGCAAACTGTGATCTTGCCTTCTGTTGTCACTAAAAAGCATTTAGATCTTCATTCTCTATCCCGTGGTCTGCGGTGTGTGTGTCCGTTCCTAATTCGTCGCCTGGGGACGCTGGGAGGTTGGTTTTGATCCAGAGGCATGATTTCCTGTGTGACCTTTGCTTCAGCAACGCATGGGAATCGGGTCCCTCAGCAAACACCACGTCATCAACCTAGATACTCAACCGGAGGATAACCCCAAGGTCAAGGATCCGTTCAAACCCACGGAGGCCTGGTCTGAGAGAATTCGGCGGAATCAGAACGGCCTAACGATGCCCTGTCTCTCCCTCTGCTCCCTGGTCTGCACTGGGACCCTTCTGTGTGTGCAGAGAAGCTGAGCTGTATTGTTCCCCTAGGAGCCAAGTGAGCTGGTCAAGAGGGATTATGTATTTATTTTTATTTTTTTAAATACATTTCTATTGATCTCAGAGAGGGAACGAGAAATAGAAATAGAAACATCAATGATGAGAGAGAATCATTGATCAGCTGCCTCCTGCACACCCCACACTGGGGGGAAGGAAGCCTGCATTCCAGGTATGTGCCCTGACCCGGAATTGACCTGTGACCTCCTGGTTCATAGGTTGATGCTCAACCACTGAGCCACACTGGCCAAGCTAGAGAGGTTGCTTTAAAAATGTGGATCAGGGAAAACTCAGGGCAATTATGCTCTCATTGCAGGCCCCTCTGCCCCTGACACACTCACTGATGAGGTCAGGGTACATGGGCACATTGGACAAAGGGGACAAGGAATAGGGTAGTAGGAATCCAGGTACTCAGCTGTACTTTGTACTGAGCACACAGGAGAAAGGACACTGAACTACACGTAAGGGAGAACCATGGCTCTTTTCCCCTCGGGGATGAAATACCTTAAAATACTTGATTCCTTTCCTCTCTGCTTTGGTTGACAATAGAAACACTGCAAGGAGATGGCTGAATCCTCAAGGAAAAAATAATTCGATTGCTTTCTTACGTAGAAGCCACTTCTCACTCATCCTTTAGTATTCAGCTGAAATGTCACCCCCTCTCCGAGGCTTCCCTGGCTCCAACAGGCTGGGTGGGTCCTACTTTTATGTTCTCATAGCAGGGCCCAGCCAACCCCCCTCACTGCACCATCATCTCATTGCATAACCATGACCCGCTTTCCTGTCTGTCTCCTCCCTGGAACGGACAGCTCATGCAGGGCAGGGCCTGTCTGGTTCCCTATTGTTCCCCCAGCAGGTAGCTGAGGGGCTGGCAATGGATTGGCATTCAATGGATACTTCATTTTTATTTTTATTTATTTATTTAAAAAAATATATTTTATTGATTTTTTTACAGAGAGGAAGGGAGAGGGATAGAGAGCCAGAAACACCGATGAAAGAGAAACATCGACCAGCTGCCTCCCCCCCCCCCCCCCGGGGATGTGCCTGCAACCAAGGCACATGCCCTTGACCGGAATCGAACCTTTCAGTCTGCAGGCCGACGCTCTATCCACTGAGCCACACCGGTTTCGGCAATACTTCATTTTTAAAGAGGAGGAGGTGAAGGAGTTCCTACTAAGCTCCTAGATTGGTATAAAAGATGTTTGTAAGCATTCTCGACAAAAATGGATACAGATGTGGTGGAGCATTTGGTGTAAGGAAGCTCTCCATGAAGAATACAGAATCGTTAGCCGTTGGACAGATCTGCTTGGGAGGATGAAGTAGCTATAGGATTCTGCGCTAACAGCGTCATCTAAAATGGTTATGAGGATCCCATTAGAGCTTTTATGAGGCTTTGTCACAAATATTTTGCAGAAATGTAGTCTAATGAACAATGTAAAGGAGAGCATGATTTAAGCGGTTAATATCTTTTCCCGGATTGCCTCTGGTACAGGGAGCCTCCGACAGGGTTGAGTTTGAGCAAATGAAGCTATCGGTCACACCCCCCTGTGATGGCCCCTGCCATGTGCCAGTCCTCCTACCTGGGCTCTGAATTCCTCCCCAAAGATATGTGTCTTCTTCATCTTTATATCTCCAGCACCTCCCACAAGGCCAGGCCCAGAGCAGGCAGGGCTGTGGGAGAGTTTGCAGGTCCTCAGTAAGCTAATGGAATCATCCCAGGACCTACCAGTTCTATTCCTAGGTCACACAATGGCCAATAGGTGTTCACAAATGCTCAGAATAGCATGAGTGATCACAGCAAACACATGCAAGCAAACCAAATGTTAGGTAAAGGCAGCCAGACACAGAAACCACAGACGGTGTGCTTCTGTTTGGAGGAAATAGCCAGAGTCAGTAAATCCGCAGAGATAAACGGCAGATGAGTGGTTGCCAGGGCCGAGGGGAGGAAAGGGCGACTGGTTGGGGGGTGATAAGAATGTTGGGAAATTGGAGAGTGGCGACAGCCGCACCACACGGTGAATTTATGAAACGCCGCTTTAAAATGGCCACACCGGCACATTTTATCACAATAAAAAAACAACACAGAACAACAAGGATAGGCACATAGAACCATTTTCAAGTAAGTTGGCTAAGGTGAGGGACTCGGGAGTTGAGGTGGTGGGAGGATTTGAAGGGAAGGTGGAGAGAGCAGAGGTGCAAAGCAAATGCCTCCTAGGGCAATGCCGCTCTGGGGGGAGCCAGCTGCAGCCCCTCCGCTTAAAAGCCCAGTCCTTGCCGAAACCGGTTTGGCTCAGTAAATAGAGCATTGGCCTGCGGATTGAAAGGTCCCAGGTTCGATTCCGGTCAAGGGCATGTACATTGGTTGCGGGCACATCCCCAGTAGGGGGTGTGCAAGAGGCAGCTGGTCGATGATTCTCTCTCATCGATGTTTCTAACTCTTTATCCCTCTCTCTTCCTCTCTGTAAAAAAAATCAAGAAAATATATTTTAAAAAAAAGCCAAGTCCTTCCGATGATCAGAGACAGACTGAGAGATGCTCAGAGGCTATGACTCAGCAATAGTCACTGTGGAAAAGTGCTAGCTGGTTATGGAACCAGTTTCGTTATTCTGAGTAGTTATAACGGATTTCTCCCCCACCCCATGCTCCATCTTTACTGCCTCTGGAGTCACCCACTTTTCCACTCCGCCCACGCCTCACCCTGAAACCCCGAGGCCTGGGAACCTCCGGGAAGTGACTTTGCTCAGGGTCATGGGATGTGACCACAGAGTTAGATGCGTGTTGACTGGGCTCCTGCGATCCTGCCCAAGAGCCTGTCCTCTCCACTGCCCTCTGTTCTTTCCCAGCTGTG